CTGCTGCTTGCACCCGCCGTCTGCTGCCAACTACTTCCAGATGCCTCCCCTAAACGGAAACACAGAAACACACGCAAGTTTACATCAGACGAACATCGACAGTTCTTTCACAGAAAAAAAAATAAATACCATAAAGAACAAGAGTTGTTAAGATTAGTCATCTGTATTCTGAGCAAAGTGTTGTTGGGCATGCATTAACATTAAGAGAAAAGAAAAAAAAATAAAGAAAAACTTACCGCGCCTTGTACGAACAAAATCATAATAAGAAAACTTTGGTGATTTACTAAGTGATGACAGAAATAAAATTAACCACGATCATAGCAACTCAAAGGTAATATGTATATAATATATGTATGTATATATATATAACATACGAAGCGGTTGATTGAACTTTAGTAGAGAGTAGGGATTTTGTCAATTGCGTAACAAACCTGCTGGGTCTTCGGCAACGCTTTGTCGCGTACGCTCGTCGCTAAAACTGCGTTTCAAAACGCTCTCCCTCATCAGTTCAGTCGTGCTTCCGTCGTCCCTAATTATAATCCTCTTGTTGACCGTCCTCTTTATCCTCACGTTTCCATCTTCATCCACGATCTGCTCCTCGTAGACATCCTCACCCTCGTCAAAGTCATCTATGAACTGTCTCATCTGCTGCTCGGCATCGGCGCCTTTGAACGTGTACCTCTTCACCTTCGTCTCTCCAGGTTCAATCACTTCTGTTACATAAGGTTTACTATCGTCCGCCTCGTCGTAATCATCGCCGAACCAAACTTTCTTCACCGCCTCAGATATGTTCACGCTGTCCCTGCTCATGGGATCGATGTTATCCGTAGATGACACCATCGTATTAGATCCTCCACTTGTAAAACTTCCCGAATATACGGAATCCGTTTCGTATTGGTAAGTAGCGTGAGTCGCAGTCGACGTCGACGCTACACTATCCGTGCTCTCAAGCATGAAGTCCTTATTCTGATCAGCAGTCTCGTCGTCTTTGTGCGAGCTAAAGTCTTTTCCTGTGCTCGAACTGCTATGATCGTGTCCTCCAATTCGAGATCCATCCTCATCGATGGAATCGCTGAATCCAGCAATATTACCGGTCGCCAATTCCAACGAATCGCTGGACGTAATTGCACAACCCCTATCCTTAATCTCGATGCTATCAGTCATTATTGTTCCTTTTGATTTTTGAGCTTGCAACTCAATGGAATCCGTGCTCGTTGTCATCGCATCCATCGGCGTCTTCATATCTAAACTATCAGTGCTTCCGTGACAACTCGGCTTCTCTTTAATATCGAGCGAATCCGTGGAAGCCTGCATCATATCATCATCACCCCATTGAACTTTCTGCGTCTTCACGATGGGCGCATCCAAATCCAAGTCAGGGACTTTAGATACCTCCTCGATAGAATCACCCCTACCAATAGATTCAGTTTTATCGCCCTCCTTCAAATCAATAAATCTCTCAACGTTAGTCTGAGCCTGTCTTATGATCTCGTCGATTTCGAACATCCTCTTCTCGTATTCCTCTTCATCCGAATCAGCGACGATCTTCTTCTCTGGCCCCGAAACAGTCTCACAACTCTCAGTCTCCGATGCGATACTCTCCTGACCCTCGTCGATTTGAGCAAGTAATAATTCCTCTTCTTTCACCTTTACCTCAACCTTGTGAGCGGCGATGCACGCCATCTCCAAACCTTCGAATTCCTTAAGAGAACTCACGGACACGTCATCTCCTTGCCCGCTGCGTCCGAAGTAACGAGTTTTGAAACTTGAACCATTGCTCAAAGAATCCTGTGATCCCTGATGGAATCTACGATTCTCCAAAGACATGGCCCTTTCGAGACTCTCAAACTCTTGCAAACTCGACATCGATATATCATCGTGTTCTCCGGATTTGGTAAAGTACTTCCTTCCGGCCAACACATCATATTCAGGCGTGCTCGAGTACGAGTCTTTGACGCTGCCTAAGCTACCTCCGGACTCCTTCTGAGAATTTAAACTTCCAATGCGACTCTGATCGAAATCGGCAATATCCTCTTCCTTGATATCCTCCAGAGGACATCTTTCGAATTCCATCTCGTACCCGTAACCTGCTGCAATCATAGCTGCTTGATCGCCCTGGAACTGCTGCTCAATCCACTTCTTATTCGCCTCCAACTCACGATCGTATTCGTAGACGTAATCTCTGGGACTCTTCGTCGAAGATCCAGTGCTCTTTTGATTGTTCGTCGGTGGACTATCTTCGAATTCAAAACCAAGTTCATCGCTGGACGAACCGTCCGGATAATATTTGATTTCGGTCATTTTGGTGGAAGGTGATGGTGCAGACTTCACCAAATATTCCTCCACTTCTTCGTCATGCTTCTTCTTGATCTTATGTTTCGAAATACTAACAGATTTACCTTCCATATCAGTTTCATGAGCTTCCTTTGCAACCTCCTCGATAACAACAAACTCATCCATCAGATCAGGTTTCTCCAGTAGTTCAAACGAATCGCTGTTCGGAGATTCCGACATCGGAGATCCGGTTTCCTTATCCGTTTCCTTATCAGCTTCGAAGCATAGCTTCTCCACAACAGTTTCAATCATGTCACTTTCCGCTGTTTTATCCTCAAGCAATTGACTCTCAGATTCCTCTGCAATTACTCCTTCCATTTGATCTAATATGTATTCTCCACCTTGATCCGTAGATTCAGAACTCTTACTAGAGTTTGAAGCCGGAGTTTGTGGCGTGGAGATCTGCGCTTCGTCCTCCTTCTCCTCCAACTCCAAATCTGGATAATGGAAACCTTTCCTATCCATTGGTGTCATGTGTTGAGTGACCTTAATGTCCGGTATAGCGCCGGGACTCTGATCCCTCAACTGCGCTCGCCTCTGCTCAAACTCCTTCTGAGCTCGTTCTCTAGTTTCAAGTTCATGCTTCTCTGCATCTTCGTCTTCCAAAATCGGGCAAATCTGCTTGATTTTGTGCGCCGGCGATACATGGGCCACCATATGAAAAGCAGCATCAGCTTCTGCTTCCTCAAAGCTGGACTTTTCGCTGGATGTTGAGCTGGATTTACCATGGGAATCGCGTTTGTCCAAAGCTTCTTTGTGCGTTAGTTTTTCGACAGCGACTTCTTTGATCAATCGTTTCGCTTCCACCATGTCCTCAGATAATGATTCTTCTTCGAGGTCCAAGACTTCGGAAGTCATTTCCGGAGTGTCTTCTTTATATTCGTCTTCGATGTCCTTCAAAAATCCTTCATCTGCTTCGGTATCGTAGAATTCTGCTTTCTCGTCGACGTCTTTCTTCTCGTCACTTTTACCCTCCTTGAAACTTAGTTTGTGCATGTACGTGTCGCTTTCAGGCAAGTCTGAGTGTATTTTTTGCTCAATTTGCTCGATGTGAGTGCCAGTGATTTGAGAGATCATCCCTGGAGTGAATGACGTGCTTTCCGTTCTTCTGTGACCACGTTTCTTCACCTCCGGAATTTCCGCAGATTTTTCGCTAAAGTCTTCGACTGTTGATCTTTCAGCATCCGGTGTATGAGTTTGCGAAATAACTTGGGTACTGGCGCATTGCATTCCATTTTCGTCGATCATTGATGTTGTCAATGTAACATTGTCGATCAGAATGTCTTGAGGATGGTACGGAGTTGACGTCGACATTTCAACAAGAGATGGAGTATGCTCACCATCTCTGATATCTATGTCTTCGTTGAGACTCAATTGATCGGATGTAAGTGATACAGTCATACCAGTCCCTGGTCTCTCGCTCTCGGTATGCGATAATTCAATAACAGTTCGTTGCGCGGCAAGACTAGAAGTGCTGGATAAACTCACGCTAAGCACGCTGCCTTCATCTAAGCTAGTACCTAGTCTTTCCTCAGACTCAAATTGCGGTGAATCAGGAACAAGAGATTTAGGTTCCGGTTGGAAGGTCATCTCCTGAGATCTCTTCATTTTCGATGCAGTTTCGATAATATCCGTGCCGTCATTACTGAAATCTTCCTCGGAGATGTCCAAGGACTGCTGATTATCAATTGGTAAAACTTCGGAGTCACTACCTTCGGTACTCTGCCTTGTACTTAGCAACGGTTTTCCATATTCAAAATCACCTTCCATCAGTTCTTCAGCTGCCAACTCAAACTCTGAGGGAACCAAAGTTTCCGATGCTTCTGATACTTCAACACTGGCTAAATGCCCAGAACTTTCGCTGTCCAAACTCTTCATGCTCTCCTTTGAACTTAAACTGCTGACAGCAGTGTGATACTCTGTTGATGTTAAGTTCGAAGGCACCGAAATATCTTGCGATGTCAATGCGCTTTCGTATTCTGAAGAACCTGCAGCCAAAAGACCTTCAACATCAGAAGAACAAGGTCTGCTCTTCGTGCTGTCAATCTCAAAGCTCTGGTAATGACTCTCGCCTGAACTCGAATAGGCCTCAAAGTCAATTCCAGATTTTCTCTCCTGTTTCAAATTCGAGCTGCTGCTGCTTGACTCATCAACAGTACGAGTCTTCCTGAAAACTACTCGCTCCTCGAATTTGCGTTCTCCAGAAATGTCTTCTGGTGATTTTCCTTCCAGGCTTGATTTCGATTCGCTGCTCGAGGTGCGAATGATTTCTCGGTATTCTTCAATCTTGGGCTGTGAAGATTCCAATGTGAATTGACCGCTTTGGAACAATTCACCTAATTCAGCTTGACTAATCTCTCCGACGATGACGTTCGAGGAGATTGTGTGCGTTTTCTGTTGAGATACATCAACGACTGTATTTTTTGTAACCGCCTTAGTGTGAGTCGTTTGCTTGGTGATATTAGTTTCGACATCGTCGGCAACAGAAGATTCCTCAAGTTGCTCGACAGTTTGTTGGAAGTCCTTCTCGACGATTCCATCGATTTTACGTACTTCGTTTACAGTTTTATCTACGGTTTCGCCATCCAGTACGCTCTTCGAAATGCTCTCACTCTCGTAAACACCTTTGATCTCTTCGCGATCTTTCGCTGCTGTTTCCGTCACAGACTCAGCTTTGACTTTATCGTCAGAGATGGACGAAATAACGCGTGTTGTAGTTTCGCTGGAATGGATAGCTTCATCAGCTATTTGCGCGGCGGATGTTGAAGAGCAGACGAAATCATTGGTTTCGATGAATTCTTGCTGTTGAGCAGTCATTTCCGAAGTTGATGCTAACACCTTAGATTCACTGAAAGTAGAATCTAAAATGGTTTCATCCTCCTCCAAAATTATGTCCTTTCGCTCTTTTGTAACTTTTTCGCCCTTTACTGTTTCTGCGCAAGTTGTATCTAAATCAGTTTTCACGAAAACCCTTCTGTCATCATCGACGACTTCAAAGTCTTTCGTCATGCTGGATTCGCGGTATCTGCTTTCATCTATGACTTCTTTAACCAGTTCTTCGTTCAAATCTCCATCGATTCGTTCGGCTTCCAATTGATCGATTTGCTCTTCCAGTATATTCGCTCGACTTCCAGTTGGTGAATAATCGGTGCCGCTGTATTTCAAATCTTCATCGGTTATTTCCATACTAGAAGCCTGGGTGTCAGCCCGTGAGAGCTTAGATAGTTCACGCTGTTTTCTATCAAGTACAGATTGCACCAGCTGCAACTCTCTTGAATCTAGACCTTTAGTTTCGGCTAGTTGCCTCAAATAATCTGAGACCTGATTCTTAGCGTATTCAGGTGCCGGAGGTTCTTCGTAATCAGTGCTGTGTCTCCTATGTATCTCAGCCTCAATATCAGCGATCAATTCGTTCGCAATAATTCGCGCTTCTTCAGGTGATATCTTCTGATGGTGCAAACTCTCCAAGATCAACTTTTCAATGTCCGCTTGACTGTCGGATCTACGATCGGAGCAATAAGATTCGGAGTGATCCTGATGAATCTCTGAACCTAAATCTGATTCGTCTCTTACGCTGCTGCTTAAATCATCGTCCTTTTCATAAACAGCAACTTCGATTTTTTCGGTTTCGTATCTGCTTGTTGTCGGCGTTTCATCAACAGGTATCTCTCTCGATGCTTTGGTGGACTCATCGGAGATGGAACTTTCCTTAGATTGAATTGTTTCCAATAATAAATCACGTTCGCTGCTCATTGACAATCCTTCGGTGGATTTCAAATCCTTACGTTTATCCTTCATGCTTTCCACAGTCGAATCAGTCATTTCGGAATCGGATTCGAACTTTTCCTTATGCATGAGCTCTTCAATTATTTGTTTTTCATACTGCTCGAATTTACTCAACTTGGTATCAATATCTGTTTCGGATTTGCTTGATTCTTCTTCCACATCCATTGACTTTTCATGCACTACTGTTCTTTCTTCAAACGATTCTTTGATCTCTACAGTTTCAGTGATCTGCTTGGAGACGGTTTCGACTGCAGCATCGATAACCTCCGTTACAGATTTCTTGATTTCTCGAATATCATCTTCGTCTGGTATAATTTTGGTTTCCTTTGTATGTTTTTCAGCATCAGCCTTCGAAATAGTATCTATAGTTTCATCGATGATATCACTTACAGATTGCTTAATTTCGTCAAAATCTAAATCTGTAGAAGTTGATTTAATTTCCTCATCTTGCGATGCGAAATCAATGTTTCTGTAGGATACCTTTTCCGGGTGCAAATCTTCAGTTTTAATTTGAGATACAGCAAAATCTTCCATTTCCGTTAAATCAGATGTTGTTGCGACTATGGTTGGTTCTATGATTAGTTGATCAGTTGACGTTGTTACTAAAACATCTTCGGTCAATTCTTGATTATATATTTCAAAGTCTCTTTCATCTTCAACAGTTGTATCTAATTTCATTTTTATTTCCGTAGCTGTTTCAGTTATTTTTTTCTCTAAATCTTCCTTTTCGTATCCTTCAGTCAAATCGTCTTTCGAAATATAATCACTAATTACTGATGTAGCTTGATCTTGCATTAAATTGTACAAAACTTCAGATTTTTCAAAAGAATCTTCGCATACTTCTTTGTCATATATTTCAAAATCTACTTTGTCTTCGACAGTTGTTTCTTTCTTTACAATATTATCATCTGTTTTAGTATCTTCAGCAACAAAATCTGTGACAGAGGTTGAAGTCTCTTCTTCCGTCATTTTAGTCTCAACTTCTGATACCTTTTCCACAGATGGTAATTCAGGTACAGCTTCTTCATAATTTACAGAACTAATAGGTGTTTTACTCTCGAATATTAATTCTTCCTTAATTGTGAAATGTTCATCCGTATCTTCAGAAATAGTTTCTTTGATTGTAGATGTTTGTATCAGTTCTCTATCTTCACTGAAAGTAGTTGGCACAGAATCAACTTTCTCAAATTCATTAATTTTACTTGTGAATTGTTCATCTTTTCTTTCAGAAATAGAGTCCTGCTCAGAAATTGTTTTCTCAGCCATTTCTTCGAATAATGACTTATGTTTGCTTGGAATTTCCTTAGCTATAGATTCTATAGTATCTTCTTGAATACTCTCAGTGGTTAAAGATTCAGTTTTTGTAATCAATGTCTCTTTTTCCACTTCATCAAATATTTCTGGTTCAGATTTCTTCTCTACAAACTCTTTATCAATTTCAAAAGCTTGAAGATCTGCGATTGGGATATCTTTGGTGATAATATCTTCGCTGTCTATTATTTCTTTGACTGGTAGTTCTGTTTCTTTTGTAATTTCAACATTTTCATGTGATGAAATTTTGGTTGTATCAAATATACTTTTTTCTGCTTCAGTAATTTTAATATCTGTATCTTCTTGATCTTCAATCAATGTTGTTTCATCTGTGTGAGTGGTAACTGCACGTTCTTTAGGAATATCAATTTTAGATATTCCTGATTCTTCAGATACATCAATTACTTTTTTCTCTAATGCAGTAACAGTGGAAGTAATGATTAATTCTTCAAATAATGTATCTTCAAATTTGGTTACAGGTGAAGTAACTTCTGGTTCCTTCATGACTGTTGTCTCGGTTGCTACTTGATCTTCATCAGAACTATAGTCCAATTCCTCGATTATTTCCTCATCGAGTTTGGTACTAATCACACCCGTCATTTCAGGTTCTTCCACGAGCTTATCTTCGATTTCGGTTACTTCTTGATCTTCCATTAAATCGTCTTCAAAAGTTGTTATAATCAGAGTGTTTTTTGGTTCATCGCTATAGGTATCTTCGAGCTTAGTCATCATCGAAGTAATTTCTGGTTCGTCCATTAATTCATCTTCAATATTAGCTACAGTTAGTGGAGCTCGTGGTTCGTCCAATTTTTCTCCGTATGATGTCATTTTTGAAGTTGTGATTTTTTCTTCGATTATTTTATGAGATTTAATTTCCATGTCATCAGATTCAGTATCAGGTGATGATTCTTCTTGTATTTGAGAAACTATTTCTTCTTGTAAAGATGATTCTTCAGTGAGTAAGATGTCTTGAAGTGTTTCCTTGGTTTTCATTGTAGCAGGTTGTTCTTCAGAAATCTTTTCTTCTTTGCTTAAAGAAAGTTCTTCAGTAAGCTGTGTATCTGGAAGCGTTTCTATAGGTGTTTGTTCTTCAGAAATCGTTTCATCAGTAAATTGTGTATCTTGGACAGTTTCCTTAGTTTCCATTAAGGCAGACTGTTCTTCAAACAATTTTTCTTCTTTATGTAAAGAAGGTTCTTCAGTAAGCTGTGTATCTTGGAGTGATTCCATAGCAGTTTGTTCTTCAAGAATATTTTCTTCTTCATGCAACAAATATTCTTTAGTAAGCTGTGCATCTTTTGTTTTCATAGGAGGTTGTTGTTCAAAAAGTTTTTTTTCGTCGTACAAAGATAATGCTTCAATAGTCTGCACATCTTTGAGTGTTTCTTTAGTTTCAGTTATAGCCGGTTGTTCTTCAGAAAGTTTTTCTTCTTCATATGTAGACTGTTTTTCGATAAGTTGTGTGTTTTTAGTTTTTGTTACAGCAGGTTGTTCTTCAGAAAGGCTTTCCTCTTCATGTATAGAAAGTTTTTCTGTAAGCTGTATATCTTTGATCTCCTTTACACTTGATTGTTCTTCAGAAAGTTTTTCTGCTTCATGTAAAGAAACTTTTTCCGTAAGTTGTATATCTGTAGGTTCAATTACAACAGAATCTTCAATCGTTTCTACTTGAATCTGTTCAATTATTTCTTTATGGTAATGAGATTCTTTAACCTGTTGCGAATCTTTAAGTTCAATTGCAGTTTTTAGGTCAAAAGGTTTTTCTTCTCGAATGACTTCAACTATTTCTTCATGGTGTAAAGATTCTGGTGAATCTTCCAGATTATCCTTTTGTTCTTCCAAAGTAGTTTCTTTGGAAATTTCAGAAACTTGAGCTACAACTTCTTTGATTACTTCACCAGTTTCTTGAGCTTCGATAATTAATTTTTCTTCAACAGATATTGCTGTTTCAGAAACATGAGTTACAGGTTTCTCCTCGTGAATTACAGACTCTTTGACTTCCTCTTCCAATTCGCTCGCATCGTGTTCTTCAACGATTAGCTCACCTTTTTCCAAATTTAATTCGAGCGCTCTTTCGTCGAACGTCTGCACTTGAGATTCCACGGAAACTTCCCATATTGTGTCTTGTACGTGTTCTTCCGGTTGGTTGATGGGTGACGTGGCTTCAGGAATTGGTTTAATATCAATGGGTTTTTCAAACGAACCTTCGCTACTCTCTTCGCTAATTCTGCGTTGTTTACCCGATAAACTAATGGTGATTTCAGGTATATCCTCTTGAGTGTACAGAGATTTAGGCGAAAGTTCAGTGGATTCCAATGATTTTGTTTCATCCACGTCGGTCATCTTCTCGGAATCTTCGATTTCGCTCTTGTCGACGTGAACTTCCAACGAGTCGCCGGTTTTGGAAGCGTTCTCATCGCTGTCACGATCGAAAATGCTGTCAGATTCAGTAGAAGATTGTTGAATTCTCTGCGGTTTGTGAACTTTGAAGATGCTAATGTTCTCTTCGCTGACCATTTCTTCGAAATTTTTGATATCATGAACTTCGTCGAACTTGTGCGATTTGCCCATGATTATGGATCCGCTCTTAGTTTCAAAAGCTTTTGTCAAGTCTTTCACCGATTTTTGGACAACTTCGTAGTCATCGTCCAAGATGAGAGCCTCCGCTTTCTCGTCGAAGGCTACAGCGGTTTCAATGAGTTCATCTTTCTCGTAGGTGATGGTATCTGGTACGCTTTTAACACCGCTTGGCTCGACGTCATCTTCTTCGCTTTGATCGTCAATGCTGAGCGTTTTATGCTCAGGCAATGGTTCCTCTTCGATTTCCATCATGAAATCATCTTCGACCATGTCTTTCTTAATTCGCTCTTCGTAGTACTGCTTGCGAAGAAGCATGCTCTTGGCGGATACTTCGTACAAGTCTTCTGTGGGCAACGAACAGGATCGTTCGTAAATCGACTTCCTCGTCGAGGAGGACGGTTGGAAGACACTCATCTGTCTGTCCCTGATTTGAGGAACGCGATCCTCAATTTCAGAGTCAGAAATGTAATGCTCTACATCTCCACTATCGGAAATGTAACCGGTATTCTCGTATCCACTAGACGTGTTCATGTGAGCGGAATTATCGTTATCAGAATCAATGCTATCAGCAGATTCCAGCTCTTTGGGTTCGTCCGGTTTGGGCGGCGAGACTTGGGCCGGATCTTTGAATGATGACTGATATTCTGTGAGGGGTTTCGACGGTACTTCTTCATCCTTCGATTCGCTGAAACTCTGCGCGGCGATAGATCGCGGTTTTGGAACGGGCGGTTGCGAGGACACTTCGTGGATGGATGTCCTCTTCATCGGTGTTATCTTAGATTTAGTACCTTCCTCGTATAAACTCATGCGCTTCTTGACTGTAGATTCTTGAGATTGACTACTACTACTACTGACACTCTCCCAGAACTTCTTACGTTCCGAGTAACTTTCGATGACGCTCTCTTCAAGAGTCTCCTCAGCACGATCCTCTTCCTCCAATTGCGATGGCAACGTTTCATCTTTAGCAACTTTAGCGTCTATTGTTGTTGATGATGATGTAGATGTCGATGATGCGGTTGTTAATTCATGTTGGGTTTCTGATGTTTTGTTTGATCGGGGTTTAGGTTGTGGCAAAGCTGTTATTTCAGCAGACGTTTTGGTTAGTGGTACGCTGCCGATTTCTAAAAATAATGGGGAATCGTTAACAGGGTCTAGCGTTAGTTACATGAGTTTGTTTGTAGAAATGTTATAAGCACTCTGGGATTCAGTTTAGTTTTCGTTGGATTTTTATTTACATTTTAGTATTTTTTATTTGCTATCTCCGATTATTTTTATGTTATTTGCTTTGAACTTACCTCTTATCTAAACAGGGGTTGTAAGGTAAACAAAATTTGGAAGTAAAACAAAAAAACTTATATGTACAGAAATCAATGGAAAACACAGCCAGATTATGCCAGTGCAAAAGTGGAAAACCAAGAAATTAAAATTACAAGAAAAACACATGCAAACACAAGAAATACAATATAATTCAACGCATTCAAACATATCGGGCACGCATGTTTTTTTTTTCTCCACGATTTCGTTCTATGTTCACTACCAGTTTTGCTCTATCTTTGTATTTACCTAATGTAGGCGGTTCGTTTGGGTCCATGGTTATAGTTACGGGGGATTCTTTGTAAATTAAAAGTGCTTCGTCTTCCGATATAAAAATGTCGGGTATAACGTTTTCCGTTCGCGAACTGTTGCGTTCGGAAAGGAAGGAGGACTCTAGTGATTCGTCGTCACCAAAGATAGAGAGGTTCGATCGGTCCGTCAGACTTTGGTTCATGCCTTCGATGGAACCTGACCTGTTCAGCCAATGTACGACGGCCTCCATGATGTGACCACGAGAGATCAACGATTCCGAGCTTCCCAAGGATCGCGACATGTCCTCTCTGGTATGGTATGATAACGATACCAGACTGCGACCTTCAGTGCTCTTGCTCAAGAACCTCTGTGGACTCATCGTCATGATTACGTCCATGATCGTTCCTCTCTTATCGTATAGATCCGGAAGACTTCCTCTGTCTTCTTCGAGCGTTTTCCGGTGGAAGCCCAGCTCTGATTTGGCTCGCTTTTTGCTGCCCTTCTTTCGCCTTGGTTTCGGTGAGGCGTAAGGACTTCGCATCCTCGGTATTACATCGACCTCTATTCCGGCCTTATTAACTAAATTATCTTTATTTAAATTCACCGGACCCATGTAAACTATCTCACCTACGAAATTAAATAATTGGTGATTCTCTTGGACGTATGACAATGCCCCGATATGTTTGTAATCATTATGTAATAATGCTAAGTATCGTTATTGTTTTCTATCGAGACTCTTTTTATATTTTATGTGTGAATAGAATAAGTAAGGCACTGAACCCTAAACATTAAGCCGTATGAATAAAACTAAGTAGCATGCTTTGTTTTGCAGAAAACACATTAACGAAAACAAATTATAAGTATGAGAAAAAGATCTAAGTTGTTGTATAACAAATGAGTTTTGCATTGCAAGATAGTATAGAGTTTGTTTGTAATGTAAGTATTTTCTTTTTAATTAATATTTTTATTTTTTTTTTTGAAAGAATTCAGTTTTGTGAAAAAGACAGAAAGCTACATCGACAAATACCTTGTGGCAGATCTACAACATCGGCCTGACTCTCTGGCGTTTTCGAATCCCATTCGTCGGTCTGCGAGAACGTCTGCTCATCCCATAGAGCCGCGTATTCCCGTTGAAGGTCGGAAACGTCTTCCGTGCTCAGCTGGGACACGATCGTCCTGAAACTACTCTCACGACGCTCCTCCATTTCCGGAGTAGTCATGTTCGACTCTTTCGCTTCCTCTTTCTCTTGGTCCATCGCGTCCGATGCCATTCGCTCAAATTTTCTCTCAACTCGCTTCAATTTACATTCGATCTTGTCAGCCTTCTCGATACTCTCGATGGCTTTCTCTATTTCCTCCAATTTTGATTCAATTCTCTCGCTTTCAAATACGGTCGGATAATCTAAATCCGTAACTAACGCTTCCACTTTCTCCTCTACTTTAACGTCGTCACCTTTCACACCGGTCATTGAATCATCCTCCGATTCTATTCTGAACATCGGTTTTTTCTTTGCCCCTCCTTCATCGTCTTTGCTACCTTCACCTACACTCTCAATCACGCACTCCTTTGCAAATTTTATAACCTCGCCGTCTTTAAGAACTATCTCAGAATCAACAGCATCATCTACAATAACCCTATCGCCCTTCAACTCATCTTTAAAATCGGTTAATTTTTCAACTAAAGAATCTTTACTTTTGATTAAATCAATCGCTTTTGACTCTACAGATTCGACTACTACTTTTTCAGTTTTGATTACCTTTTCTTCAACATCTTCCAACTTACGTTCACCTTTTTCAAGTTGTTTATCAATTAATACCTTGGATTCAATTTTAGACTTATGTAAAATTTCCGTAGAAGAATCTTTGATGCTTTCTACTTTCTCCTGTGACTTATCTTTAAGTTCATCTGCAGTTTCAATAATATCGTCCTTCATTTTAAGAGCTTTTTCTTCTATAGCTGCTTTCCCAGATATGATGTTCTGTTCAACTGAATCCTTACTACTTTTAGCTAAATCTTTAGTTTTATCCACAAAATCCACAGTTTTTTCAATCTTATCGATAGCTGAATCTCCAACCTTCTTAGAACTATCAGCTATTTGCTCTTTAGCTACAGTTGCTTCATCTTTCATTTTAGTTAAAAAATCTTTAGAGGAATCTTTAATAGTCGCTGCAGTTCCAGATATTTTATCCTGAATAATATTTTTACCTTTTATAGATTTCTCGACAACCGAATCTTTAGCCTTACTAGCTTCATCCTTGCTATGCTCAAGGAACTCAATAGTTGCTTCTTTAGCTGAATCTGTTTTCGTAGCAATTTTTTCTTCGGTTGCTTTAACACTATCAGATGCGGAATCGGTAACTTTGATAGCTGTTTCCTTCATGCTCTCCAGAAATTCAAAAGTTTCTTCTTTCGCTGATTTTGCCGATGCACTAATTTTATCTTCGGTCGCTTTCACGCATTCTTGTACTGAATCTTTATCTTTAGTTATTTGCTCTTTACCTTGATCCGCAATCTCTTTCACTTTAGACTTTCCCTTTTTAAAGAAGCCAAACACTGAATCTTTAGCTTTAACTGCTTCATCTTTAGTTACCTCTGCAACTTGTTTTGACGTTTCTTTAACTTCTTTGCTAGCATCAGCTACCGCAGTTGCAGTTTGCTCTGCAACTTCAATGGATTTCCCTTTACTCTTTTTCAAGAAACCAAACACTGAATCTTTACCTTTCGCTGCCTCTTCCTTCTTTTCCTCTACCATTTTCTCGGTCGTATCTTTAACGCTGGATGCCAATTCATCAGTCCTATCTGTTAAACTAATAAATTTATTATCTACCTTTTCTTTGGTAGCTTGAATGGAATCAATAAGTTTTTCTTTAGTCGCCTCGGCCTCTTCTATTTTTGTATCGGCAAATTCTTTTGCTTCTACAAGCTTTTCCAATGCGCTTTCTTTAGTTTCTACCAAAGTATACTTTGCAGATTCTAAGTGTGCGTCAATTGCTTGTTTAGAGTCTGCAACTGAAGTAGTTACTTGATCGGCCGTTTCAGAAATCTTCTGCTTACTTTTATCTAAGACTTCTTTTGTTTTATCTTCAGTTGCTTTCTTGCATTTATCGATTGCTTCTAGTGTATCATCTTTTATTTGAATGGTATCTTTATGCGTGTCTTTAATCACGTCTTTTACAAACTCTATTTTATCTTCAGCTGCAGTTTTTCCTTTTTCAGCTTGCTGTTTCGCTGTTTCAAATGCTTGTTTCACGTTTTCTTTTTCAGTGTGAATTTCGTGGGACACACTCTCTTCTACCTTGGTTGCATCTTCTGCTTTTTCGTCCACAAAATCTTTAGCAACATCTTTTCCCTTCTTAAAGAAACCAAAGACCGAGTCTTTTATCTTTATAGCATCGTCCTTCTTTTCCTCAACAATTTTCTTCGAAGCTTCTTTGCTTTTCTTTCCAGCATCGACTACACTGTCTTTGCTTTTTGTTATCTCCTCCTTTGCATCTTCGACAATTTCTTTAGTTTTATCTTTTCCTTTCTTAAAGAAACCAAATACAGAGTCTTTAGTTTTAGCAGCTTCCTTTTTCTTTTCCTGGCTAGTCTCTTCAACGTAATCCTTTGCGACTTCCATTTTTTCTTCAATTTTATCTTTAGTATCCTTTACACTTTCAATTACGATATCTTTAGACTTAATAGTATCGTCCTTTATAGTTTCCAATTTAGTATCAATTTTAGATTCAGTGTCTTTCAGAGTTTGTATTACATCAGCTTTAGTTTCAATAGCACCATCTTTTATGGATTCTACTTTATCTTCAATAGCAGCATTAGTATCTATTAACGTTTCTTGTATTTTATCTTTGGTTTCAGTTTTCAGTTCTTCACCAGATTGCATTCCATCACTCAAAGCACTTTTAGTTTTATCTGATATTTCATGTAACACGTCTTTGGTAGATGTTATTATTGCTTCCTTAGTTTTGTCTATTGTTTTCAGTGATTCATCTTTAATTTTAATGGTTTCATCCTTTGCAGTCTCTATTTTATCTTCAGCTGTAGCTTTTCCTTTTTCTGCTTTATATTTAGCACTATCAACTTTATCTTTAATAAAATCTTTAACTTTTTCTTTTTCGGTTTGAATTTCTTGGGTCGCAGTATCTTTCAACTCAGTAGCATCTCCTGCTTTTTCCTCCACGAAATCCTTAGCGGCATCTTTGCCTTTCTTAAAGAAACCAAAGACCGAATCTTTTGCTTTCACAGCATCTTCCTTCTTGTCTTCAACAATTTTCTTAGAAGCTTCTTTGCTTTTCTTTCCAGCATCGACTGCACTGTCTTTACTTTTTACTAACTCCACCTTTGCATCTTCAACAAATTCTTTAGTTTTATCTTTTCCTTTCTTGAAGAAACCAAACACTGAGTCTTTAGCTTTAGCAGCTTCCTTTTTCTTTTCCTGGCTAGTCTCCTCAACGTAATCCTTTGCGACTTCCATTTTTTCTTTAGCATCCTTTACACTTTCAACTACGATATCTTTAGACTTAATAGTATCGTCCTTTACAGTTTCCAATTTAGTATCAATTTTAGATTCAGTGTCTTTCAGAGTTTGTATTACATCAGCTTTAGTTTCAATAGCACCATCTTTTATGGATTCTGCTTTTCCTTCTATAGCATCTTCAGTATCTTTTAAAGTTTCTTGCAATTTATCTTTCATTTCAGCTTTTATATCTTCACCCGATTGAATTGCATCACTTATAGCAGTCTTTGTTTTATCTGAAATTTGATGTAATTCATCTTTAGCGGTAGTTATAATTTCTTCTTTACTTTTCTCTATTCTTTCCAGTGTGTCATCTTTAATTTTAATGCTTTCTTTATGAGTATCTTCAAGTGAATCTTTCACAGATTCTACTTTCTCATCAACTGCAGCTTTTCGTTTTTCTGCTTCAATAAAATCTATCAACTTTTCTTTTTCAGTATGAATTTCTTGAGCCAAACTATCTTTCACCTTTGTCGCGTCTTCTGTTTTTTCCTCTACAAAATCTTTAGTAGCATCTTTGCCCTTCTTAAAGAAACCGAAGACCGAGTCTTTTACCTTTACAGCATCTTCCTTCTTTTCTTCAACAATTTTCTTGGAAGCTTCTTTGCTTTTCTTTCCAGCATCGACTACATTTTCTTTACCTTTTGATATCTCCTCCTTAGCTTCATCAACTATTTCTTTAGTTTTATCTTTACCTTTCTTAAAGAATCCAAACACAGAGTCTTTAGCTTTACCAGCTTCCTTTTTCTTTTCTTGACTAGTCTCTTCAACGTAATCCTTTGCGACTTCCATCTTTTGTTTCATTTGATCATTAGCATCTTTTAGACCTTCAACAACAATATCTTTAGATTTAACAGTGTCATCTTTTATGGCTCCTAATTTTGTCTCAATTTTAGATTCAGTGTCTTTCAGAGTTTCAACTACACTAGTTTTAGTTTCAATTGCACCATCTTTTACAGCTTCTACTTTTTCGTCAATCGCACCTTTGGCATCTTCCGCAGATTTCTTTGCAATTTCACGTAAATCATCTTTAGCTGAAATTATTTTTCTTTCAGCAGCTTCTTTACTTTCTTCTGCTTTATCAGCTACAATATCTTTACCTTTAACCATTTGGTCTTTCGCGTTCTCGGTAAAAGTCTTTATAGTATCTTTTCCACTTTCGATTTTATCATCAATTTCATGTTCCAATGTAGTTTTACTATCAATTACCGATTCGACCGCAGATGTTTTAATATCACTAGCTTCTTTTTTCGCATCTTCAATTATTCCTTCAGCATCTTTCTTTTTCTCCTCAGCAAAATCTTTTGTTGCATCTTTACCTTTCTTGAGAAAACCGAAGACAGAATCCTTTGCTTTAGCTACTTCCTCCTTCTTCTCTTCGATTGCCTTCTTTGAGGAATCTTGCATTTTTTTAGTCTCCTCTTTGGTTTCCTCTACGATTTCTTTAGATTTATCCTTACCTTTCTTGAAGAACCCAAACACAGAATCCTTTACTTTTCCCGTATCTTTTTTCTTTTCTTGCACAGTTTCTGTCATAGATCCTTTCAAGTCTTTAGCTGCATCAATTACAGTGTGTCCAAGTTTAGTAGCTTCTTCTTGAACAGATTCTACTTTCTCCGTTGCCTTCTCTTGGGTTTTACTTAATCCGTCGGCGAAGTTATCCTTTCCAGTTGAGACTTTGTCAACAGCCTTTCCTATAATTTCGTCAGTTGAATCTTTAGCAGATTTAATAACAGATTCTATTTTCTGCTGTGCCAGTTCTTTACCTTCAGTTGTTGCATCGACAGCTTTGACTTTTCCTTCGACAAGTTTTTCTTGTGTTTTACCAGCAATATCTTTTACAGTGTCTTTACCATCATCAAATTTATCAACTACGAAATCAATAGCTGAATCAACTTTCAGTTCTAATGATTCTTTTCCTTTCTTAACTGAATCGAACACAGCATCTTTAGATTTTTCAGCAACTTCTTTAGTATCGTCTTTAATAGATGTTATTTTTTCACCTAGAGAATCAGCTTGTACTTCAAAAGATTCTTTTCCTTTTTTAACTGAATCGACTACAGCATCCTTAGATTTTTCAGCAACTTCTTTGGTATCTTCTTTAGCAGATATTATTTTTTCTCCTAGAGAATCTGCGCCTTTTTTAGTCTTTTCAGTCACAGTGTCTTTAGCTTGCACCGCGGAGTCTTTCATTTCTTCGACGAATTCTTTAGTCGCATCTTTACCTTTCTTAAAGAAACCAAACACGGAATCCTTTTTCTCTTCTACAAATTTCTTAGAAGCGTCTTTACCTTTCTTACCAGCATCAATAGCAGCATCTTTGCCTTCAATCAACTCATTCTTACCTTCCTCTAAAGCATCTTTAGTCTTATCCTTTCCTTTCTTGAAGAAACCGAAAACCGAGTCTTTAGTTTTACCAATGTCCTTCTTCTTTTCATCCATTGATTCCTTTAATACCTTAGCCTCATCAACAACCACTTCTTTTACGTTTACTACTTCATCATTTATTTTCACGCTTATATCTTTGCTAGCATCATCAACAGAAGAAATTGTCTTTTCTTTAGTTTCTTTCAGAGCGTCAACTACTTGATCTTTGGCTTTAAGAGCTTCATCCTTTCGCTGGGAAAGGGAGTCTTTAGCACCATCAATTACCGTCTCTCTTACATCCTTTAACTGTTCCTTAGTATCAATAAGTTTTACATCAGCAGAAGTTTTGCCATCAACAGATTTACCATTTACAACAACTAAATCCACTTTTTCCTTACCATACACCAAGCTATCAATTGCAGAATCTTTTATAAGCTTAATTTCCGTCTTTGAATCAGAAATTATTTCTTCCCCAAACGAAACCGCTTTTGTTACAGTCTCATCTTTTAAGTCTCCTGCATCCTTTACTAAAGTATCCTTCTTCTGGGTAGCATCCTTCTTCTTTTCCTCAATAAAATCATTTATTGTTTCTTTACCACTCTTAGATAATTCATCAGCAGACTTCTTGAGCGCAACACCTGCATCCTTAGTTTCATCGTGGATTGTTTGTTCAGCATCAGTTACTGCAATTGCTCCATCTTCAACTAAGTCCTTGGCTTTGTCTTTGCTTTTCTTAAAGAAACCAAATACAGAGTCTTTAGCTTTACCAGCTTCCTTACCAGTTTCTTCGGCAATCTTCTTAGCGGAATCTACAGTTCTTTTAGATTCATCATTAAAATCTTCTTTAATTTTTACAGATTCATCCTTAGTTTTACCAACCATCTCCTTAACAGCACTAACAACAGTATCAATTTCTCCTGTTAAAACATCAATACTAGAATCCGTTGCTTCTGTTAACTCATCCTTTTTCTCTTCAGCATCTTTAGCTGCAGAGTCCTTAGATTTTTGTATTTCATCTTTCGCAGATTCTTGTATATCCCCAATTTTATCCTTCACTGCATCAGTAGCACCGATAATATCTTCCTTAATATCATCTGCCATTTCCTTGGTTTTACTTTTACCCTTCTTAAAGAATCCGAATACTGAATCCTTGGATTTTCCAGCTTCTTCCTTCTTCTGATCAACATACTTTTTGGTCTGCTCTTTGCCTTGTTTTGCACCAGCAACTACAGTATCCTTGGTTTTAATAGCAGTTTCTTTTACATCATCCCGAATGTCTTTAGACTTACTTTTGCCTTTCTTAAAGAACCCAAACACTGAATCCTTTCCTTTAGATAAATCTTCTTTCTTCTCATCGATAATTTCATTGGTATCTTCTTTAACATCTTCAACCTTTTCAACAATAACTTCCTTTCCTTTACTAGCTGAATTGGCCAAAGAAGCTAATTCATGATCGATAAAACTCTTTGTTCCGTCCTTTGCTGAAACAAATTTATGCTCAGCATAATCTTTAGTTTCCGACACATCTTTCTTAGATTTATCCAAAAACTCCTTGGTTTGAGCTGCAGCAATGCAAACTTCATCATTTGATTTTGCTCCAAATTCCTTTGTAGCATCCACAATAGATATAGCCTTATCATCGGCAGTTTTATTCGTAGATTTCAAAGCATCCAATGTATAATCCTTTGATTCAGAAATAGTTGTTACTGCAGAAGAAACTTTATCAACAAATATATCCTTTGATTTCTCTGCAAATTCTTTAATATCGTCCTTAATAATAGTAACTTTCTCTTCGACAAGATCCTGACCAATCTTCGCAGAATCCTTTAGCTTAATTGTTTTGTCAGAAATTTCCTCTGTTGCTGCTTCTTTGGCTTCTTTTAATTTATCTGCAGAAGCATCCTTGATCTTTGTGATTTCAACCTTTGATTTGTCAATAATTTCCTTAGTTGAATCTAATGCAGAATCCTTGATCTTTAAAGCTTCATCTTCGGATTTATCAGCAATATCCTTTGTAGAATCAGATATGTAATCTTGTGCTTTAATTATTTTATCCTTACTTTTGTCGACAATGTCCTTTGAAGCGTCCTCAACACTTGCTATAACTGATGAAGATATATCTTCTACTGTGTCTTTGATATTTACCAAAGAACCAACAGTACTATCTTTTGCCTTGATAGTTTCTACCTTAGACTTATCTAGATTGTCTTTTGTTGTGTCCTTAATAGAACTAATTTTCTCGTCTATATTTTCTTTCGATGTTTCATATGTATCTACCGCAGATTCCTTAAATCCAATAACTTTGTCTGTAGTTTTATCCTTAATGTCCTGTGCTGTGTCTTTAATTGTTGTTGTAGCAGTCGAAAGTTTTTCTCCAACAATTTCCTGCGATTTTTTAACAGTTTCTGCTCCAGCATCTTTAACTTTCCCAAAGACGTCTTTAGCAGAATCCTTGAGTCCAACAGCTTTATCTGCAGTTTTATCTGCAATATGAATTGTAGTATCTTTAACAGTTGTAGATGCAGATGAAAGCTTTTCACCGACAATTTCCTGCGATTTTTTAATAGTTTCTGCTCCAGAATCTTTCATCTTAATAGCTCCATCTCGAGTTGTATCTGCAATATCTGCTGCTTTATCCTCAGCAGTAGTAACTGTATCGTGTACAATGTCCTTACATTTCTGGAAAATATCTGCAGCAGAGTCTTTCAACTTTGATGTTTGATCCTTAGTCTTATCTGCAATATCTTTAGTAGCATCTTGAACAGATACGGCGGCCGTTGTAGTTTTATCTTCAACGATTTCTTTAGTTATTTTTATGGTATCAGATGTAGCATCTTTGGCTTTAATAGCTTTATCTTCGCCTTTTTTAGCAATGTCTTTGCTTGTTTCTGTAACCGTTTCTTTACTCTTTTGCAAGGCATATCCAACAGATTCTTTGGCTTCAGTGGATTTCTCCTTTACAGCATCGTGTGCTTCCTTCGACTTTCGTGCAATAACTGTACCTGCAGCAGTAACTTTATCTTCAGTTTTATCCTTACCTTTTCTTACTGTATCAGACACAGATGTTTTAGTTTCTTCAACTTTATCACTCACGACATTCGCTGTGTCTGAAACCGTTTCTTTAGAAGCTGTAAATTTATCTCCAATTTTACCAAATATACCTTTGGATTTCTTCTTGTCTTTAGAGGATTCTTTCTCTTCGGTTTTTGGTTGCTTGCTTGGCTTGCCGCCCAGTTTCGTAGAGATTTTACCCAAGAAACCCTTCTTCTCTTTGCCTTTAGTTTCGGGCTGCTGTTCGACTTCCTCGGTGACTTTAACTTCAGTTTCTGATTCATCCGTATCTTCGGCTGGTACAAATTCAGAATCTTCAGCCATTTCCTCTTCCTTGGTGGCTGGTCTTATTTCTTGGGTAAATGTTTCCACAGTTTCTTTAGCATCTTTAAAAATGTCCGGACAGTCAACTTTGCGAATCTCAGTTTGAAGGGTGATGACTGGACCCTCAGCACCATCATGGGTAGTTTGTATAGCAGTTCGTACTTCTTGAGTATAGACTCCGCTGGATTTCGGTAAACCATGCACCAAATCCTCCAAATCGTTAGCTGTCATATTATATTTATCGACTCCTTCGGATATATCAGTCCTGATCTCGCTTTTGATGATCGACATTTTACTGCCAGTCTCTTTTGTAATATCATTAGTGATTTCTATTTTTCCTTGAATCAATTCGTCAATATTGGGAATATCCACTGCGCTTATGGGAATTTCGGTAATCTCAACCGTTTTAGTTTTAATAACTTCTTGCGTTTCTTGGGTAACAGTTTCCACCTTCTTCAAGCTCCTTCCTCCATTCGCTATATTATCGACAGTCTCGTCCCTTGCGTCTTGCACGACAGTTTCAGTTTTTACAATTAAACCGGATATAAAATCTTTGGCGCCGTCAACTTTCTTCTCAAATTCATGCACCGGTTTTGTGGTTTCCATTTTCGTTGTAACAATCTCTTCTCTGATTTCCTTCTTCACATCTTCGGTCACTGATTTCATTAATTCTTCCGTTTTCATTGCTGTTTCTTTGGTTGAGTCCTTAGCACTTTCAAGTTTGAAAGTTACATCATCTGTTACAGATTGTGTTATATCCTCGGTTGTTTTTTCAATGACATCAAATTCGGGCGCTTCTGGTTTGCTAAACTTGTGCGTTAGTTTCTCAATGAATCCTTTGGATTTTTTCTTCGATTTGACTTCGGCTTGTTCTGATTCAATTTCGAGCGCCGGCTCTTTCACGAGCACAACACCATCCTTTTCGAAATCAAGAACTACTTCTTCCATGGGCGGTATAACATCTTGTTTAATTTCTCCTGTTTCTTCGTCCTTGCTCTTGAAGATTTTTCCAAGTATACCCTTCTTCTTTTTCTTTTCAGGCTTAGATTGTTGTTTTACAACCTCGGTGATTATTTGAGAAGGTATTTCGCTTTGAGAGACTTCTTCAATCTCCATTTCAGCTTCAGTTTCAGTTACTTTGATCAAGTCCTCTGGAGATTCAAAAACGGCTGTTGTGACAAGGATTCTATCCTGTTTCATCTTTGGAACATACTCGGAATCTTCATATTTATGCTTTTCGGTTGTAAGGAAATCGTTCGTTAATGCAATATCCTTAATTAATGTTGTCGTGTCATCAAATGTTACTTCTTTCTTCACTTTTTCTTCTTGTGCAATTTCCTCAAATTCAGGTTTTTCTTGTTTGGGTTTCTTTGCCATGAATGTGAACAATCCAGCTTTCTTTTCGGATTCATCATTTGTTGCTTCCTCTTCAGACTTTTCTAATTTACTCTTTATTATTGGTTTCACATCGTGGAAATTAACAACTTCTGTATTTAAGAAGTCACCTGTATCCTTCAACGTTTTTTCCAAGGATTCAGATGGTTCATATTTAGGTGAATCTTGTTTCTTGTTTTTCTTTCCAAAGCAGGTGATCTTTGCGTTCTTGTCGTCTATGATTTCAGGTTCAGTTTTAGGATGTTGTACGAGAGCCGAAGTTGTTATTGGCTTAGCATCCTGATAATTAATAACTTCAGTATTTATGAAATCGCCAGTATCCTTTAATGTTTTTTCTAAAGTTTCAGTAAGCTCGTATTTCGGAGATTCGGGCTTCTTGCCCTTCTTACCGAAGCAGGAAATCTTGATCTTTTTGTCTTCTTCTTCTTCTTCAGATTCAGTTTTGTGTTCGGATTCGACTAGGGAAATGATTGGTTTAGCATCGTGGTAGTGTTCAATTTCAGTTTGTAAAAAGTTCTGGGAATCTTTCATATCTTTAATAACGGTTTCGCATAAACTAAGTTGACCTTCCTTTGAAGGTGCTTCTTGAATCACCTTTTCAGTTACCTTTGTTGGTTTCTTGCTGAATAGGTTAAATCTGCGTCTTTTGCTGCTTCCGTCACTCTCCTCTCCACTCTCAGATGAATCTCTGGAGGGTTTAGATTTATGCTTCTTACTCCTCTTTTCTTTTTTCTCGGGAGTTGACGGATTCGTTTTGACGTCATGGTAATTAACAACTTCGGTGTGTAGAAAGCTGGAAGTATCCTTCATTTGTTGGATTACTTCTTCGGACAAAATAAGCTTCTCTTCTTTTGAAGGTGCTTCTGTTATGGTAGGCTTGATAGGTTCTTTTTTGGTTTTGCTGAAAAGTTTAAATTTAGAAGTTTTCGATGCGGAATCGCTCTCCTCGCCGCTCTCGGATGAATCACGCTTCAATTTCTTTTTGGATTTTTTACTTTTTGATTTGGATTCCGTGGATTCGCTGGTCTCCACATCGCTAATTTCGATAATCGGTATGACGGGTTTAATTATTTTCACGTCATCGAAATGTTTGATTTCTGTTTGCAAGAAGTCAGTTGTATCTGTGATGTTTTTAAGAACGTCCTGCGAGAATCCGATCTTATTCTCTACAGACGAAGCTTCCTTAATCGGATCTGCTTTGCTTTTCTTAGAGAATAGGGTGAATCTGCTTTTCTTCGAGGAGCTGTCGCTCTCTTCTCCGCTCTCAGAAGATTCACGCCAAGACCTGGGTCTCTGTTTCTTAGATTTCTTTGGGGTGGACTTGACATCAACCTTGATGTCTTCTTTAGGTACCTCTGGTAAGTATTTAACATCTTCGTATTTATCAACTTCAGTTTTTAAGAATGAGGTTGTATCATCCATGGATTTCTTTAATGCCTCACTTAATTGAACTTGTTCTTCGTCCTTCTTTTCCTTCTTGGTAAATATTTTAAATATGCCTTTCTTCGGCGACGTTGGCATGTCAATTTCTTCGACTTTTTCGGGTGATTTAACCACTGTGTCTTTAGCTATAACAATTTCTTTGACTATCACCTCTTCTTCGATGGGTTGTTCTTTAGTTGATACTTGTATGACTGGTTTAGCGTCTTCGTAAACATCCACTTCGCGTTTAAGGAATGATTGGCTATCTTTCATTTGTTGTGCGACAATTTCAGATGGTACTGGTTTAGCGGTTTTTTCTTTCTTGCCGAAAATCGGTGTGCGCGACTTTGACTTTGTGTCTGGTTCAAATTGTACCTCAACTTCTTCAACTTCTTTTTTATCTTTCTTGCCGAATATTCCGCTGAAAATACCGGATTTTCTTTTCTCTGATTTTTCTTCGTCGCTCTTCGTGGCTGCGATGTCTTCGGCTTCTTCTTCGGTGACAGCAGAAGTAAGGATTGGACGTACGTCCTCAAATCGAGCCACTTCTTCCTTTAAGAAATTTTTAGTGTTTTCTAAATCTACTAACGTCGTTTCTTCCACTACTTCTTCTTTAGTTTCCAAAACTTTATCATTTTTCACTGCAGATGGCTCTATCGGTTCACCGTCTTCTTTTTTATTCTTTTTACTGAATAATCCAAAGAAGCCGGCCTTCTTCGATTCCTCATCGATCGTAGGCGGTTTCTCTTTGGAGGATTCCTCATCCTGCTTCTCTATAATCTCTTGCTTAGAGAACTCCGATTTATCTTCATCTGATTCCTCAACTTCTTTGGAAGATTTTTTACCCAAAAACCCAAAGAGTTTACCATGCTTGCGCTTCATCTTCTGGCTGCTAGGCATGTTTTTGTTGCTCGTTTGATTGAACACGTTGTTTCTGTCGTCCGCCCATCCTTGGAAATTGATTTCGTTTTGGATTAGATTAAAGGTAGCAATTTTGGTGCGTTCAGAGTGTTCGCCCAATCTAGAATAGTGGAGAAGATGATCTGGTGGTTCTGATAGAAGCGGTGCATCGATATCTTCGTAGATATCCGGTTTGGAAATGCGAGGCGCTTGTCTTCGTTTCTCTGGTTTTTCGTGTAGAATTTCTTTTCCGATCGATGCGATGCTTTCGTTGACATCCATTTCAAAGCTCATGTCTTTAGGCATTTTGTGTTTGACTTCGATATGGAAATCTTTCGATTCGTAAACTTTAGGTTCGAATGTCTTGGTGACTTCGATGTCGGTGCGTGGTTTCATTTGTTGCTCGACTCTTTTGACCGCTGCAATTTCTACTTCTTTGATGAGCTCTTTAGCTTTAAGCGTGATTTCTATGTCTTTTGCTTCGGTTGGCGAAGCTTCTGCGTATGGAATATGTTCTAGATCGCCTCTTCCGCCGAGCGGAGGTGTAGGTAATCTAGGCTTTTTGACGGGCGTCTCTGGTAAACCGGGGACCTTTTTGTCCTTCTTTTTCTTCTTCTTGTCTTTCTTCTCCTTCCTCTGAGATTTCTCAGAGTCGGAATCGGAATGATCGAATGATTTCGTAACGATAGTTTTAAGCGTACCGAAGAAACCCTTTTTGAGTTTCTTCTCTTCGAGCTGCTTATTATCGTCCAATGTAGGCTGTGAAATTGTGCGACGTTCGGAATCTATGAAAGCGTTAGTTGTGTTTTTCAAATCTAAACTCATTGGTGTACCGTTAGTTATAACATCTAGATTATCGTCGGGGATTGCTTTTGTCGTCGGTGTCGATTTTCCTGTAAGAACATGCGTTTTTGTTTTCGAACAAGCATACCTAACTACGAAACCTCTCCCAAATGCCTCACGTCAACAAAAAGGAAAAAACACAAACAGAAACAAAATATCCTTACTGCAGTGCGGTAGGCGCCTTATGCTCGCATGAAACGCGTTTCAATTTTGTTATTAGTCGTAAAACTTTTAACCAAAAGAAAAGAAAAGAAAAAAAAGAACAAAACCCATGCGTATGAGTTTGCCACGAGATCTATAAAAATGGTTACCTCCATGGGCTTCCGTTTGAGGAATCCAATCGCAATATGCCTTTGGAGGTACGAACTGACTGTGAGGTGTTACGAATTCTATGAAGGGATTGTTCGAGGTTACAGGTGTCGTCGGGCAGGATTTCGTGGAGTTGTAGCATGGATAGAATGGAGTGTTAGCATATAGATCGGTTGTATGCAAGTTAGAGCAACTCTGAGAGTCAGGAAGTGCTAGAGGAAAGTTTTTCGAAGGAGCCGAGATTAGTTCCAGTTTACTTCTAGACAAATCCTTGTTGGAACCAAGATCACTCTCTTTCGGAGTCCGAATGAAAAGTCTTTGCAAAGTGAATACCGGTTTCGAATCTCGCGGTTTCGCGTAATCAATCAGGCAAGCTTCTGCTTCTTCGTCTTCGTAGTTAATGATAGAAGCTGTTTCAGTTTCCAAGAATTCGCGCACCGAACGTATCTCGATTTCGTCTTTACCGCCTTCACTAGTTTTAACCAGAAGCTTAACTTCCGCTTTTATGATCTTCTCCTGACTATAGTCATCGCTACTGTCTTCCGAATCCGTTTCGGGCAAAACCGTGTACTTAGGTTCCTGATTCTCACACAAGCTAATATTCTCCTCGTCTTCTTCAGGAACAATACTTAAATTCCGATAAGTTCCCTCGTACCATATATCGTTATTGAAAGTCTTGTAACTTATAGCTTCGACCGGTTCGTAATCGTGAGTCTCGTAATCATCCCAACTATCAGGATAAGCATCGGAAAGTTCGCTCAAACTCTCGCTGGAAGCTTTCCTCACCGTAATAACCGTTTTGTATGGGACTTCATCATCATCTTCTGCTAATAACAAAGCGGATTCTTCGTTTTCAGCATCGCATAATAGCTGAGAAATACCGTCCTGAACGTTCTGAAAAACCGCCGCGTCTTCGAACGAAATCAAATCATAAACGTGTTCCTCGCGAGGTTTAGAATTCGGATTGCTAAAGCGCACAAGCTCGAAGGGACTCGCGTTTTCCACGACAATTTCTTGGGTGGTTTCGTAACGTTTCGGAACGCGAATTGATTTCTTTATGGGAACTTCGATTAAAGCGTCGTTTGAAGGAATCAATTCCAAGGTGTTCACGCATGGATTCTGCAGAAGTATGATTTTTTCTTCGTGCTCTACTTCGGTCAACATTCGATCTAACATTGCATCAATTTCTGTATAAGAGGTGGTTTTGTAAATGACAGGAGGGATTGTTTCAGGATCCGGGGATGGCAGATTGCGACCGAAATTTGCTAACAGGACACTTTCGTAAGTGACTTCTTCAGCGAATGCCGCATCTATCAAACACAAACACGAGCATGAGAAAGCGGTATTAATCCAAATTAAGAAATAATAAAAAGAAATAAGAGATGGAAAAAGGAATTCAGACATCAACCAATCTGTAGTAAGAATATTTTCTTTGCTGCACCTTAATATTTACTACACCAAATAAACGATATATTCATAAAAAATAGATATATTTTGTCTCATCAAAGTTTTTTATTTTTTTTTTCTTTATATTCAAGTTACTGTTGCCAATGATTATGAATGATGTAAGTTGAAAAACAAAAGGAATTTTGAAGGTCTAAATTGTGTTAAAAAGAAATAATAAAATCACATAAACTTGTGAAGCTTTAAGCTAGCTTGAGTAAAATAAAAATCATGTTGTTACAGTATTATTATATAGTTTTTTTCTCTCTCTATTTATAGAGATGTTCTGATGAAGCGAGAAATAAATAAAAAATACTTTCTTTTCGTTATTGCTTCGTTAGCTAAGCTCCTGTGCTATTTATTTGTATTAGACAAAAAAAAATCTCCCACAATCTTCTTTCGTTCAGCTCCTAATCCATTGGTAACGAAAATGAATATGAAGGGACAAAACACTTGTGTTACTCTCTTTTTAGTATCAACATGCAACGTGCAAAAAGCATGCCTCCGCCAATATCCTCCGTCAAATGTGGTCCTGGTATTGCTAGTAAGTTAGTAAGCGTAAAATCTGATAACATCCAGTGCTATAAAATTTACTTAGTAATATATTTTTTTAAGTAATTTCAAAACCCATCCCTTGCATACGCACACACACATAGAACATTCTGGCTATTAAAAAAAATACTATTAAAAAAGGAACAGAAAATTAATTTGAAAATAAGGACAGAACAAGAAAACAAGAGATAGAAAGAAATCAAATAAGAACAGAAAAGGATAATCAAAACAAATTAGTGGAGATAGAAAATAAACTGTTAAATAATGGTGATGCTCCTAGCACTAAACGTATTTAATTTTGGTTCATCTTCGTTTAAATTTGTTTTATTTTGTTGTTGTTGTTTTTTTATATTTAAATCAGAAATCAATTTTGTAATTCTTTGATCTGTATTGACGTTCGATTTGCAATTTAAGGAGACTTACCTTGCTGGGTCGATGTTGGTGCGTCTAGTTTCTCTGGTGGTTGGATCGGCTGTTCGGCTGGTCCTCTTCCTGGTGCATCCCATTCTGCAATTGATACACAAAGATTTAGTAAGTACATCGAGAGAACCAATCAATTTCATTATTCGCTATATCTAACATCCTAACCTAATATAAGCTTATCAACTGTACCTTAACCCACCATATTTTTCTCTGTTGTGTGTTTCAGCCAAAAAAACCTACCTCTTTTTTTACATTTACGTGCATCAGTAAATCAACTACGAATTTGCGTACTTACGTTTGCTGAGATTAAAGAAAGTCCTTACTCTGACTAGCCTAGCCCTTTCCAGAAACTCGCTGCCGTCGTAATTTATACCGTTAGGATGTTCGTAAATATCCACGATCTTTGCAATGCTTTTATCTTTTTTCCTCTTCACCTTGACCATCCCACCCACTTGAATTTTCGCTTCGCTTCTGTAGCTACACTGAACCACTAATACTAACGGAAAGTCTAGGTACAGCATCGATAGATTAGGGATATGGTTCTCATGAAAAGCTATGTTAAAGTTCGTAGCGTAGCCGATTTTCGTGCGAAAGATATTCAGGTAGAAGAGGAAAACCGGGATTCTATTAGCTGTTGCTACATTACCTCCATCCTTCATCAAACCGAAAATGACGGAACCGTTTTTCCAATCGATCGAAACTGAATCGTTTGCTTCTGCGATGTCAACATCTTCAACGTCTGTATTGGACTCACGGATCAACCCTTTCAAATGACCAACTTCACTGGCTGACTCGACATTAGATGTTCGCGTAGTACAAGAGGATACGTCTGATACCAGATGATCATTGAAATCTTTTTGCATTTCCGAAGGAGTACTCAGATTGGTCGTTGTATTATCATCTTCAGCAGAAGCCTGAACATCTTCGGTGTCTGTAACCATTGGACTCCAGGTGCAATTGTTGCTAGGATTATGCGGTTTCAGAGAGTTCAGATTTCTAGTCACCGTATCGTTTTCCCTACTTAATATGAAATCTCCACCCATTTCACGCATTAAATCTGGAGTGCAACAGTTACCTCCAGGAACCACATCGATATCGTCTTCACTAAGATCAAGATTTTCAACATCAGTTAGGACTTCGATATTCGTTACCTTTATATTAAAATAATCCTTCTTTTCGATATCAGACATATACAGATCTTCTACATCAGTTTTGCTAGCCTCCAAATCTAAGGTCAACTGATCAGAACACTTTCTCGGCTGATTCAACAATTTGTTAAAATTCTTCTTAGACTTCTTATTATCTAAAATAAGTTCCTCAGTATCAGTTAACGGTTCACGAACGAGCTGTTCGCTGCATAAAAGTTTTGTTCTTAAATCTTCCACATATTTTATGTCACCTCCTTCGATCGTAGGTAGATCAGGTGTAGGACAACGTCTCGGACCTTCAATGGTTAAAAACATCTCTTCCTCTGATACAAATTCAACGTCAGTTTGCTCAGATACATCATAATTCAAACCTAACGTTATTTCTATATCGTCCAAATCTTGCACGACGACTGTAGGTTTACCAAGACTATTTTCTTTAATTAGAATTAGTTCCCTCATTGACTTTGGTAAAAAATTGGTTGCCAAATCGCACAGAATTTGTTCGTTATCTGAGTATTCTTCGAGCTCAGTTAAATTTCCATCAGGAATTGCAATAACTTTATTCACTCGACGTTCCTCATCGCCCGAATGAAGACTTTCTAAATCAGTGGCAACATTATCATGCGAATATGGCTTAGACAAATAGCTCATATTTCCGGAATATGCAAATCTGTAACTTGTTTCGCCATCCGACGAATCGTCACTTTGATCCTGAAATTGATTTTGCTGACCAAATTGATTGGCCTTGTCTTTAACATTGCTATAGCATTGAGCCATAGTGTGCAATTGCTTGTTGATTTCCGTATCATCGTACTCGTAATTTTCAATATCGCTAAGGTTCAGGTCATCTATGTCAGTCATGCCGTCATCGATTTCGTCTGGTATCATCAAAATTTTATTCGTTTTTTTCTTTCGAATCACAAAATCATCTTCATCTTCATTATCGGTATCGTAGAGCATGGATTGTCTTTGATACGTTTTCAAAGTACTTTGCTCGTACTCTTTAATGGGATTCTTTTTAAATATATTACTACGTCTTGCTTCATCCACTGATAAATCGACATCTTCTATGTCTGTTACAGCTCCTCTATTTCTCAGAGAACCTTTCGGTCTGCGTCTACGGACTTTCTTATTTTTTTTTGTTTTTACCTCGTTATCAGAATCTGAAAGAAGTTCCACATCTGTCGGCGTGAACTTTAATTCTTCGTTAACCATCAGCAATGCTTTAGATGCATTTTCAAGGCTCGGCGTTAGAGATCGATTTGGAATAATACTATCGCTGATATTAATTGAATCGCAACAACTGTATAACTCCGTAGGAACAATGCATTCTGGTATATCAATAGGTTCATCATTGTCAGAATTGTAAACGTCTTCGGTATCGGTTAAGCATACTTGATCATGGTATATTGGTAGCGAATTGTTCACAGATTTGGTTATAGAGAATTGTGATTTGAGTCGCTTCTTGCTTTTGTTCTTTAAATGAAGCTTGCAAGACTCCTCAAAAGTGCCAGGTTCTAAATCAAGATCTTCAAGGCTCATCGGCTTTTCGTGCATTATCAGTGCATTTTCTTCATTGTCGGAACCTTCCATGTCTTCGACATCGGTGTGGCTATCAAAGTCGTTTGATACTTTTACTAATAATTTCGGTTTGTTCTTTCTGCGATTTCTAATTCTATTTTTTGAAACTTTCTCATTGTCCATGTCTAGTTCCTCAATGTCGGTCAACGCTTCAGCCAGTGAGTAACAGTTGTGGTCATCGTCTTCCTCATTTTCCGGCGTTATAGATATCGTCGGAACATTTATTTTCAAACTCATCTTTACTGGGAGGATTTGAGGTACGCCCTATGCAAATAAAGTGTAAGAAAGAAACAGAACATCATAAAATAAAATAAAAAGTGAATAAGAGAAACCATGTACCCCGAGATTCGGTGTGAGAGTGTGTTTGTTTTTGGTGTGTGTGTGTAGTAATATACATACTTACGTTAATTGCGTTTGGTAGAATAAAATGTGTATACGATGTCTAATAGATAGAGTAGAAATAGAAGAGGAAGCAAGTAACAAACGAAGGCATTAAAAGACAAGCATCTATTTGTATACCTCACGTGGTACTGGGAAAGCCATGCTGTGGGTTGGTACAGCGGATCTTTCAGGCAACACAGAACGTGTGTTACCTGAACTCATTTCCTCTTCAGACGATTCGGACACAGTGTGACCGGGTGTTTGTCTTGTGCTCGATGGACTACTGCCCTGAACGTCGAGTATAGGTGACAGTCTGTCCTCGGTTTGTGCTCGGTGAGTCGTCGTGCTTTCTATAAACGACTTGGAAGTAAATTGTGATTTGGTATCGAATGAGGTAGTCGTGAATTCTCCCATCTGCGACATGAGCAACTTTCGTGGAAGCGAAACAGAGTCGTCCTCCAATAGCTGGAAGCGTTCTTGGATTTCTTCAAATGTCAAGTTTTCGGAAGCTTGCGCGCACGTGATCAGATCGCTGACTCTGTACGTTTCCTTAATGGATTCAAGAGACTTTCTTGCGGATTTCGGTGATACTGGAGACGATGATTTCTGTCTACTGTTTGCGTCGGAGCTCATGTCGTGATCAGACGGTGAACTTGGTAGAGCGATCGACTCTGATAAACTAGAGTCGGTCGTGTCTATTAAGGATATTTCTGCTTCGTTGCGAATTCCAGATGGAAATTTTTTTAAGTTCTCATAAGGTTGTCGATATATAACTTCTATGGATCCGGAGTGATCATCGCTTCTTGTAAATACTTCAGAAGTAATAACTTGGGTGCCACCGTTGGCACTTCTGGCACGGATGGGACTTCCTGGTAACGATGTAGGTGTTATACTTCTTTCTAATAGTTGAATTTCTTGTGCTTTATCGCGACATACAGTGGGTATGACTGATTGACTTCTATTGCGATCGGTAAATTGGACGGTCTTTTCAATTTCTGACGGTTTCTGGGACGGAGTCATCAATGATTTCTCGCTTATGGATACTTTCTTGATATGCTCTTCAATGGGGATGGTTCTGCGTAATTTTGTTGGGGATGGAGAGGGTTTCGGACTGTGGATTCTAGCAGGTATATCCGCTTTCTGGTACCGGTTACTATCCTGCATTTCTTCCTTTATTTTAACCGATTTAGTTTCCTTCGTATGTGCACTTCGTGTGCGTTTCTCCTCTTTGAGAACACTACGCGTTGAACTGTCAGAAGAACAACTTCTGGCCAAACTCTTCTGACTATCTTTATGCTCTTGAGATCGACCGCGTTTTTTAACAGGTGTCGATTCCCTGGATAAAGTTTTATTTTCAGATGAAATTGTGGTGCGTTCGTATGTGTATTTATGTACGTTCTCGGGTGTGTAGCTTCTCTTTTTCTCGGTCGATGTTATTTTCGATACTTGCTTAGTTCTTTGATTGGCGTTGTCAATTTCTTTTTTACTCTTCGGTTTAAATTGCTGCGTCTTCTTAGCTTCACTTTCCTTCACATGACGTTCAATTTTCATATCACGGGATAACGTTGATTGCATATAGCCATAAACTCTGGTGACTTGCGGAGGTTTATATGGAGGAGGAGTGGTTACAAAGGACTTTACCTTTTTCTTACTTTCATACCGTTTAGTAACGGTTTTCGCTTCGGTGGAAGTACTATCACTACTCGACATTTTAGATGTAGAAGATTTAACTAATTTAGGAATGTAGGTTTTGATCTGAGATCTTGCAGCTGAACTACTCGTGCCGACACTTGAAGTACTAGCTACCTTTTTGTAAACTTTTTCTCGGACTTGCTTTGTAACAGAGTCCTTCTTTTCATCATCTGAACTTACATCTGCGTCCGTTGCTAATTTCATAGATCGCAATCTTGGACTTGTGAATACTTTACTTGTCTTTCCATAGTCAGTGTACTTCTTTACTTGCTTTCGAGACCTTGCCACTGACTTAGAACTTAATTTGTCAGACGCATCTGAACTAAGAATGTCTTTATCAACGATAATGTTGTCAGGAACTGTGATTCTAATCATATCATCATCCATTATTATATCGCTATGCTCGATTTCATACTGTTTTACAGTCTTTTTAAATTCTGCATCTGTTTTTTCCTCCTTTTGTGTTTCAATTATTGACTCTATATGTGACTCAGTGTATTCCGTATCATCGCTATGCGGCGATTCCACTTCATACAGACTAGCTTCAACTGGAGCTTTTTGACTTGTACTTCTATCAGATAGCGATTGGATTTCCAGCCTAAGAGAAGAGTCTGTGCCTGAGGATATTGGTTCTGCGTCAGTTTCCGAAAACTTTTCAGAATCGCTACGAGGCATATAGCTTTGATAGTCTTCATGTTCAATAATATCATCATCAAATACAACTTTATGTTCACAGGACTCTTTTATCACTACGGCTTTGTGCACTACGTCTAGCTTTTGTACATTGTCAAGCTTTACATCTACTCCAGCTACAGTATGCATACCTAGATATTTATCGTCTTCGCTTTTTTTCATTATTTTTGGTTCCTCAATAAATTCAACTCGCTTCGTTTGGATTGAATGTACTTTCCCTTCTAGACTATCCGTGGGAATATATTTCGTTTCTGATGAAAGTTCTTTAACTATCTGAGTTTCTTTGGATTCTATAGAATCTCTTTTCACTTCAGATATATCCTTCGTCCTGCTAGTTCCTTCATAGTATAATGTTTTTCTAGAACTACTCATTTCTCCCTGTTCACTGATTGTAGAATCCTTTTGCTTAGTTTCAAAATCAATAATATCAGTTTCCAACCTTGAAGTCGTAGTTACATCATAAGATTTCAAATGATCTTCCACTTTGCTCAAATCTGAAGATAATGTAACAGTATAGCTAGATTTTTTTTGAGAGTCAATCTCAACAGCATCTAAAACTCTAGTCTTAGTGTCAATAACATTAACGTCCGATTTAGATTTATCAATATCTGCATATTTTGTAATAATACTGTCAGTTTTAATGCACTGATCAATTTGAGATATTTCCACTGACTTTTCTGTAGGTACCTCCGGAATAAATTCGGAAATTGATAATTTTGCAGGTTCAATCATTTCAGTAGTTCCTAATTTTTCAATAACTGGAGATTCTTCGTCCTTTAGACTTATGACAGGTGACTTTTCTTTAGGTAATTCTGAAGTGACTTCAGAAATTGGTAATTCTTCTGGTTTAATAATTTCAGGTGTAATAGATTTTTCAACGACTGGTGACTTTTCTTTAGGCAATTCAGGAGTGACTTCAGAAATTGGTAATTCTTCGGGTTTAATGATTTCAGGAGTAATAGCCTTTTCAACGACCGGGGACTTTTCGTCTTTAACACTGATGACGGGTGACTTGTCTTTAGGCAAATCTGGAGTGACTTCAGAAATTGGTAATTCGTCGGGTTTAATCATTTCAGGAGTAATAACCTTTTCATACATAGGAGACTTTTCGTCCTTGACACTGATAATCATTGTTGTGTCTTTGGGCAACTTTGAATGATCTTTGGAAATATCAGTTTTAGTAATAAAGTCAACTTCAGTTTGACTTGACTTCAGTTTACTTGTGTCTGATAAAACTGTTGTTCTGTCAATACATTTAACATTAGATTCTGACTTCAATCCAGCTGCGATTTCTACAGATACTGCGTGGATAGAATCATCATCTATTGTCGCAACTTTAGGATAGTCAGATTTTATATGAGAGAAGTGTCTATCAGTATCTGACAATATTGCTATAGAATCAGTGGAAGCAATAGTAGATTCCGATTTCTTCGTATCTATACGCATACTAGACATATATTCGGAAGACTCATGATCTTGTTTCTCTTGCTGAATTATCAATGATTTATCAACAGTATCTAAACGAGAAGTAACATATGTTTCATCAGCTGCTTTCAAAACTTGCTTTTCCATTTCAATTTTATGTTTTTCTTTAATTTCTAAGGAATCTTCATCAAGAACAGAATGTTCGTCATATTGAGATGAAGAAATACCATCAATTGATGTTGAAACTAAATTTTTTCTGTTCACGTCTTTGTTCTCCTGATTCTGTCTTGATAAAGAATCATCGGTAATATCTAGCAACGAGTCAGTTTCTATAGAAGATTCTTCAATTTCTCGTTCATTAATAATATTTTCAGCGTTATCAACATTCAAAGAGTCTTCATCTATACTTTGTGCTTCAAATTCTTCGCATACTAATTCGCGTTTTACTCGAGAACTCTTCTGTTCGATACTTTCAAGAAGAATCTTATCTGTTTTATAATTATCTATCTCAGCATTAAAAAGTTCCTTATTTTTAAAATCCTCTGAAGAGTCAACAATATCATATGAAGATTGAATGACAGCAAAAGCCTGACCTTCAGGCGTAGGCGTTAAATCAGGATTGTATTCTTTAACATCTTGACGTATTTGCCGTGAAACTTCTAAAACTTCGGACATTGCCTTACTTACATCAGAAACTGATATCATATCCATTAAACTCAGATCATTTTTCCTAATATCTGATTTCAAGGCATCAATTGGTAATTCTTCGGGTTTAATTAATTCAGGAGTAATAGCCTTTTCAACGACCGGGGACTTTTCATCCTTAATGCTAACGACCGGTGACTTGT